CAATAGAAAGAAAATAGAATGCATTAGTATATCATACATAGCAATTTCAACTCCGTTACAGATGATTCATTCATTTCCATATGTATATATATGTACATTTTAATCCGTTAATCAGTTAAGCCCAGATTGCATGACAAAACAGAAGCAAGTTGAACATACATTTAACAACCATCATATTACCGACATTCATCAATCCTTCAGATTAATAAAAAAAAACAAATTTACGCTCAGTTAAATCAATTGCTACTGAATAGCTCGAACTGAATTTATGTACACAGAAAAAGACATTTGTGAAGAAGTCACTATTATGGTAAATTTATCAAATTGTGTCCATTTAAAATTATTAACTTTTAAACACAATCTCGGCTTAACAAAACTTTGTTTCGTTCAATTTAAGTTAACCATCACATACATCTATGATTTCCAGTCACCCAATTATTAAACTCTTGTGAACTCTTCAAAACTTTTATAAACATTGTGTAGTCCATCTTACCAATTTTTGAATTCCAGACAATTGATAACTCACCCACTGTATTCTTTCGATATCCATTTTCAAATTAACTTACATATTTATATAACTGTAGTATAAAACTTATGTACTTTAACTGAAAGCCGAAAAATTCTACTTTATGGTTTTATTTAATGCATATTCTGTTTCAAAATGTGATATCTTTAACATTAAATAGTGTTGTGTTAACATTACTAAATAACGAATAGTTCACAATGTAACAACAGAGATGTTTTGGTGTTAGTTGGTAGATAACCGTAGCTGTGCATACAGAAACAAACACAAATTGCACGATAATTTGATAAATAAAGGTGTGACAGGGTACGAAGTTGTTAATGTTATTTATTTGTCATGTTTGTTTCTTTAAATATTTGTTCAAGTACATCTTGAAGCTTGAATTCAGTCTGACTGTGGTTCGTGACACCACGAATTAGTAGCGCTTAAACGTAGATATTGCTCGTCGATATGGTATATTTCCATCTTATACTGTTTATGACATAATGGCAATATCGAAGTAATGCGCACAGGATGCAAGTATTCCAAAAAAAGGAAGATCAATCAAAGTCCTAAACATTACTGAGAGCATTCACCTCCTCAAAGTGAGTTTTACCAACGAGTCGGCCTTATACTTAGTGTTACTAAATAGTTCAATGAGATGATGAACTATTATATTAGCTAGTGATTGATTGATTTTAATCTCTTGTTAACTGAAGCCTTAAGCTACTGACATATTATACTTTTACCAAGATAGAATAAAACAATATTCTCAACTATTAAGCTCATTGAAGTTACGATTATGAAATGGAAGAGGTTTCAAATTGCTATTTCATTCATGTACCACTTTAACTCAATTATTTATTGTGATCATTTAACTTGCACTCGAAAATTTTTTATTCATTTTCACGAAATCCTAGTGAGAAAACATGTTTTGTGGAGTTTAATAATATCGAGAAGACACTGGTGAAACAGGATGATACTCATACTTTCTCGTAAATTCTCTGAATTTTAAAATGTATAACAATTGGTTGTAATTTGTAATCTAAGTGCCAAAATATCTTGGGTTTCTTTGGTAGGTGAACACTCATAAACATATATTCAGAATTTCTTAGTTTTTATTGGGATTGTTCTTGATGATAGCGATCAAAATGGACAGTGTTCATCTGTCATCCACCATATTCTCAAATTATCGATTCTTGTTTTTAACCAGTTAGTGTTTTTCTTTAGCAGTTTAAAGATCCCCATAGAATATTCAAAAAAAAGAATATTTGAGCGAATAATTGTCTTCAATAACTTCATCCATAATTATGATATTTTACAAAGGCCAAAATGAGGCATGTATTAATTAATTTGACAATGTTATGTGTTAAAAATGGTGAACGTTTGCATCTGTTACACCATATATACTTCACAATTGTGTTGATTGTAAATTAGAAAGGTCATTTAATAAAGGTCAAAAATGATTTACAATAAAGTGTTCAGTCACAATCAGTATAATAGTAATATAGGAAAAATGAAAATGTAAAAAAATTGTGTGAATAAAGTGCATAGTAGCAGAATTTCATCTTGTTAATTGAGATAATAATGATAAATAGTAATAATAATTATTATAATAATAAGATTTGTGTGTGAATATAATGTGTAATAAAAGGAGTGTTATCCAGGTAATTACGATAAACGAATTGGGAATGATGGATGTGAAGATTAAGGTAGGGATGATCAGAGGGCTTTATCCTTGTAGATGTACAAGCATGGTTGTGAAAAAGAGTCATCAAATCCATTAACAGCACCATCCTTTCTCACTTGGTAGATAGTGAAAATCATATCAAAATAGAGGAAGCTTTCTCTGTTTTATATCAAGTTCCGAAAAATCTACCTCAAAGAGCTAGACTACGATTACTCTACATAGCCGAAGCCATCTGAATCAACTCCAGAAAACCAAACTTATGCATCCAGAAAAGGTATATCCTGCTTCTATGTTTACCTTGGCCTATGACTAGATCACCGGATATCTAAACTAACTATTACAAACCTCTTCCCCTTCCTTTTATTCGATCACCCCTACCTTAATCTTCACATCCATCATTCCCAATTCGTTTATCGTAATTACCTTGATAACACTCCTTTTATTACATATTATATTCACACACCAATCTTATTGTTTTTCTTAACATAAGTATATATTTCTTCGCTTAATCATTATGGTTGTAAAAAATTTTATTTTGGTTATCATTTTTTTGTTTGTTTGTAATTTTCTACCTCTTTCCGTTTGTATTCTTCACTATCTATTTACTTACATACTTCTTATTACGTAATGATTTTAATGTTTTGTGATTACTATTCCAGACTACTTACCCACGTTTGACCTCTTAATTCTTATGTTTAATTATTGATAAGACTTTTGTTATCATAATTTACTATTCTTACTACTATCAGTACACCTGTCTTCCCACTATCAACTTGTACTTTTAACTATTATTATGCTTGGTAACGTATTCTATTTCATTGTGATTATTATTGACTCAAATAGCCTTGATTGGTCTAACATTTTCATATAAATATTCATGTATATTAGAGTAAAGCCTGATGACGATCTAATTGAAAACAATTGTTCGCTTACATATGTTGTTCTCATTATGGTTGTACTTATGAAAAACACCGAGATAAATAACCAGTCATTAGTTCATGAACATTGATTTTTGAAATTCTAAGAACAAGGATATAATAATGTAGCAAATATCATAATATGAATTTTTAACATCATATCTATAAATTGTTATCGGATTGTATTACTTTACCTATTTCAATATACATTCTATCTACTTAAACGTCTTTCTATTATGAAATCAACAATTTGTTCTATATAAACAAATACAATTAAATAATATTATATGGTTGAGATCATGAGTCAATTGAAGCTAGACCACCATGGAAAACCTGGAAGCACTGGACGGCCGTTTCGTCCTATTGTGGGACTCCTCAGCAATGCACATCCACGAGCGCTTAACCTCTAGACAACTGGCGCGAGACTGGTAGGTCCTGGGTTTGAATCTTGCCAGGCGGGATCGTGGATGTGCACTACTGAGGAGTCCCATAATAGGACGAAACGGTCATCCAGTGCTTCCAGATTTTCCATGGTGGTCTAGCTTCAATTGACTCATGATCTCAACTATATAAAATACTAAAATCTTCACGAAATCCACCTCCGATAATTAAATAATAACTTGAGTTTTCAGAAAGTAAATAATTATTTCATAAAATAATGTTTTCAGTAAAGTTTAAAGATTTTTTCTGAGAATAAAAATGGAAACAAATTAATTTGTCCGTGCTAATCCTTTATCTAATATTTCATTTACTTAAGAATTGTGAAGTAATTACGTAATTGAAATAAATGAAGGTGTTGTATTCATTATAGAAAGAAACAGTTAGGGGTATTATTAAACATTGTAATTAATTAATTACAATTATAAACTAAGCATTTTTAATCAATTCACAACGTAAAATTGGCAAAAGAATGGTTGTGATTATTAGTTTAAAATCAAAGATTTGTATTCGTTTGAGGAGTCTATTTTATTATGTAATCATTTAATTGTTAGTCATCGGATGTTATCCGAATTGATGTTTTGGCAACATTGGTTTGTATATAATAGTGGTAAGATTTAATTCAATCTTTTTAACTTCATTTGGATGTTTGCTACACTATGCCGATACATGTTTATTGCATACAAAGAATAGTATCAACTAAAGCGTTGTGACCGATCGGTTCAATCAATCTCGTACTTTTGCATCAATAAGACAGTCCAATATTATGACTTGTAATTTCTTTGTTAAACTTTTGGTGGTCCTCGAGTATCTGACTCCATTTAATCGTATCGTCGAAAATTGTGTCGATTTCGGACGTCGGACTAACCACATTGGTGGCCCTATATCTGAGTTCAATTAGATCGTGTGATTATTGTTGTCAAAATATACATTCCGCCAACCCTCATACATAATTATTGACTTAAATCGCGTTGTTGAATAACGGAAATAAATAAGTCGAATACGAGAACGAAGTTTTGATAGATATATTTCGTACACTCACTGATCTGAAAGGACAATCAGAGAAACAATGTGGAAAAAGCGAAGCAAAACGAAGAACAGCCGAGAAGGCGAGTGAACCAACTCAATTTAACTAAGTATAACTCGATATTTATAGTCAAATAAGAACAAGTTACAGGCATATAATGAATAAGGTTAGTTATTAACATACAGGCGATCATATAAAACAACAGACAATATTAATAAGCGAATAACTGATAGGGTTAAAATGTGGTTTAAAAAGAATGAATAGATTAATCTATCCAGAGGATAGACTAACCTATGTGGGTTTGATATAGTACCAGCCCCTATAAAAACTAACCAGTATTAAAATCATTATTTTAATAAAGTGAATGCAGGCAAATGAAGTAGAGAAAGTTTTAAAAATTTAAATTTATTTGTGTATTTAGATTGTATTTTATTAAAAAATACATTTAAATGAGAATAACAAATTAAAGTTATTTAATCAGTGAAATATCTTAAATGAATAAACCATTTGTGAATATATTTGGTTAATTGTATAATATATATATATATATGTATAAATAATTCTAGTTATCATGAACCTCAACCATATGACTAAAATACTTACTTTAATATGTATTGAAACAATGATAAGTAAGTGGATTAATAATAATATATTATTACTAACTGTATTATATATATGTTTTTGATAAAGAATAAACTAGTTTGAATACCCAGTTACTTTAAAAATGTAGCGTAAAATGTTGTAAATATTCTTCATCTTAGAAACTAATATGTAATTAGATAAGATGGTAGTTGGAAGTGGTCAACAGGAAACCCTGAACCCGGGTTTCATGCTACTTGGCACTTGTCAGCAAGGTGTACCTGTAATCTTGAGGGAACTGGTTCTCCCTGACGGATTCAACTAATTGCGATCGATTGTGATTACATCTCAGTCCTACTGGAGGTCGGTCGCGCCCCGGATAGCTGAGTGGTGATATATATGACTATGAAGTTGTGTGACACGGGATCAAATCTGTCAGGGAGCACCAGTTCCCCCGATGACGAGTGTCAAGTAGCACGAAACCCGGAACCAGGGTTGTCTGTTGATCACTTCCAATCACCAACTTATCTCAACATAGTGCACATAGTGTTGAGTCACCTAGGCTAGTGGCTATATTGAAACTTGATTGACAGTATTTGATCTGCACTAATAAGGACTTGATGCACATGACATTCATCATCACCCAGTGATCAATTAATTGTGACTAGTATGTTATTCTTAAATTTTCATGGTGTATAACACCTCACTAATTAATTTGCCGAAATCATAGAAAAATGATTTGTTCATTATATTACTGCATTAAATGTGGTCAAAAGAAAAAATATTGTATTTCAAGACATTAAGAAGGAAAATTAGATTTGTCGAAATCTCAGCGATTGAACTTTAAATTCTATTCGTTTAAATTTAGATGAATTTTCTTATTAATGTTTTTTCGAGACTATTTCTTCCAACACATTTTACATATTCACTGATATTAATACAGTTCTCGTGTTTTTAGTTGTTTAAAATTGCTTTAATGTTATATCTTTCATAATGTACGTTAAGTTTATTGCAAAAATTCACATTATATCCACCTATACAAATATATGCGTTTTATCTTCTAAATCCACAATCCATAATAGACAAAGTATTTAAAACAAAAAAACCCACTTCATTTCAAAGTTAATCATTTGTAATAAGCAAACGATAAAGAACATGAACAGAAGAAAATTTTATCCAGACTAGTCAAAAAGTAAACAAGTCCAGATGAAGATTTGCGGAGATTATAGTAATTTTAACAATTGAATTCATGAGTCGATCTAAGCTAGACCATCACTGAAAACCTGAACACACTATATGGTCATCTTGTCTAACCATGGGACTCCTCAGCAGTGCGCATCCACTATCCTACATACCGTGACCAGTGGAGGTCGATCCGTGCCGGGTGTGAAACAATTATACACCTCAGACAATGAATGAACGGTTGCGCAAGATCATGGATGAATTGAAGTTAGAAATTAACACCGCCGGATGCAGACTCAGTGATCTAAATGTTAAACGGTCGTGCGCAAGAGCGGAGGCCATGGATTCGAGTAAATCCTTGCCTCCACATGTGCATCGGATCGACCTTGGTCATCGATGATGCTGCCCCTACAGGCACGTGAAACACTTCACATTTTCCAGAGGCTGCTGCTACACTATTAATCTTGACCTTCATTTGCTCGTATGTATGGGATAGAAGAGCTAAGTCAGGAGAAAAGTCCTTATAATATAGCTGCATGCAAGCTGTTCATTGTATTCCATGTTTATCGTCAGATGTTGAGGTACTCATAATCCAATAAGAAAGTAAGCAGCCTTGTCCGACTCCAATCCTCACTTAGAATGCAGTTGTCAGCTGTGCCCAAATGAACCACTTTGCAGTGTATTCCGTCGTATGAATTCCGTTGACGATTTTCTCAGCTAATTATTCCATAGTGCCGAAGAAGGTTCCATAAGGTTCTCCTATCTACTCTGAGAAAATTTTCTCCTAATCAAGGAAATTAATGCATAATGACGAGTCCTATTCATTTGATTGCTCAACGATGAACCATAGTGTGGCGATTTGGCCTGTTCACGACCAATCCTTACGGAATTCAAAATGTTGATCTCGAAGTTGGGCTTCTACTGAGTCTTTCATCTGGTTCAGTAACACTGCTGAAAATCTTTCCTTGGATCGATAGTAGTGTGATACCCATGGAGTTCTCACATTTGTTCAGATCTCCTTTGTTCTTCAATCTCCGTGACTGGCTTGTCATTTTTATCCTTGACCGGTCTCTCTGGTTTACTATGTTTCGCTGCCAGTTTCTTTTTTCATATTTACTTCTATTGAAGCTTTTTCTGCTGTCGTTGCTAGCTCTTTCACGTTTTTCTGCTTGTCAGCTCTTATGTTTTACTTCACCTGATTGTTTGATTTTGTGTATTTAGCTTGTGCCTTGAATTTCTCTGCTCGTGTTCGGCTGTTGCTAATGGCCGTCTTTTTATTCTTTCCGTCTTGAATCCTGTCCCGGGTTTCTGTGGAGATTCATTCCTTATGATGATGCTCCTTGCGGACCAGCACCTGCTGGCAAGTGTTTCTTTGATCTCTTTCTGGTTATCCTTTATGGTAGTTTCGTCTTCTTTGAGTAGATTTTGCAAGGCTTGGAACCTATTGTTGAGATTTACCATGAATTCGTTGAGTTTGTTAGTACGTTGAAGGAAGGCTGTATTGAGCCTTGTAATGCTGTTTCTCAGTTGTCCAATGTTTCTTTAGCTTCAGTTTCATGATGGTCACAACCAGGTGGTGATCTAAAGATATGTCAGCTCCTCTCCCAGTTCTCACGTCTTCCATTGACTTTGTGGATTTTTTACTGATGCAAATATGATCGATCTTATTCTCTATAGTAGGATCCAATGAGACCGACATAGCTTTGTGTATGCATTTGTGTGGGAATATTGTGCCGCCTATAACCATTTTGTTCAATGCACATAGATTTGCAAATCTCTCTTCAATTTTGTCCCTTTCTCCAAGTTCATGTAGTGCCATTATATCTTCATACTCGGTTCTGTCCATTCCGACCTAAGCCTTTTGGTTTCCCATCAGGATGTTCAGGTCCTTTCCTGGTCTTTGAGCTATGGTCGATTGCATCCTCTCATGAAACTGACCGTTATCGTTTTCATCGCTATCATTAGTGGGTGCGTAACACTGAATAACATTCATTGTAGTTCCCTCCTTCTTTGTTTTGAATGATGCTTTGATGATTCTGGATTCCTGAGATTCCCATTCTTTGGACAGCATCAGAGCAACTCCCTGAGTGTCCGGGGCATTCTCCTCTTCGCAACCAATTGATAGCAACATCTCTCCCATATATATCCATTTCTATCCATCTGGTGTTCAATGGGTTTCACTGATTCCAGGAACCGCCAAGTTGTATCTCCTCATTCCGGCAGCTGTTTGATTGGTCCACCTGGTCCCCCACATTTTCCGACACATTCCATGTACCTATATTAATTATTGCTTTGGTCGTTAGAAGAGGCATCATCCTCGTGATTTCTGAAGAATCTCGGCTTTCAAAGTGAGGCATCATCAATCTTCCTTCAACTGGGAGGGCAGAGTTTAAATGGTTTAATTTGTTTACTCTGGTTAGCGTTTTTTATTAAGCTTGCTCTCTACGAAATGGGCGTTGCTGACTCCATGCCACCCCCTTCTCCTTTATGTGTGCTTGGGATCGGCAGTATCCCTAGAAGAACTACAAACGGAGTTTCCTTCGTGGATACATCCTATCAAATTTAGTCCGAGTCTTCCTTTCAAACAGTGAGTTATCATGGGGGGGCATCCTAGCATGAACTTGATTCGGGGGTATTACTGGTGATTTTCTCTATCTTCCCTCCTCTTGTGATCATTTTGGAAATCATTGTAAAATTTCTGCTTTCATTTGTGCGCTGTATGAGGATAAGAAGGTACCTGATCACAAATAATTTTAGATGACTGATCGAACAATTTTAAATCTGGATTTCAAATAAGATTAAATGGGTAATCAAACGTTTTTAATTCTATGATCCAGTCGGGACTCAACAGATTGAAGGATTCATCATTAACTTAACATCTGATTATTATCATTAGATAATTAAATTTGATAGTACATTCCATAGTTCCAGAAATTTTAATTGGGATACCCGACACATCTTTTATGTAGTTGGTAGTGGGATGAATGCCTATTGATGAAGTTCGTGCCAAGTATTGCAAGAAGTCAAGTTAACATGGAATGCAGTGGAGTGATAATAAGATCATTAACATCAATGGATACATACTTGCGTAAGCATTGCAGGTTAGAATTTGACAAATCATGTACACAGTTGATCTTTTTTGTAACTCGATAGTGGGATGAGGGTTTGTTGAATTTGCGAAATGCCTCCCTAATGGCCAGTTGTTGAATGTGTAGAAACGGGAGGAATGCCATGCCCCACAGTTCCAGTTACTAATGGGAGGACTTGTGAAGCGACGTGAATTAAAAATATGGACATTATATATTCGAGTTGGGCGAGGAAATTTTCACGAATGATGCTTTTCGACATTAACGGTGAGATCTGGATGAGAATTTTTCTTTAGATAAACTGAATTTGGATTAACGGCAGATGCATGTCAGTATTTGAGCATTCGATTATTTTAGTATCATTCTTAAGATTAATAGTAAGAATTCCTTCATTTCCGATATCTTTCAACGTAAGATTTGGATCTGACTCTATTCCTCTTAAAATCTTAGTATGAATATCTGAGTTTGACGATGATTGCAATCCACATTCAAAAGTAAGACACCTAAATTCTTCGTCTGAAAGTGAACACAAATTAAAATTATCTCATTGCTTATTAACAAGCGCAGCGTATGAATCAAAACCATATTCAGGTCTCTCAACAGTTTTAAGACAATTATATCGCAATTTAAGGTAAGAAGTTTGAGTAGTAACAGTTTCTGTTAGTTTTTGCACAGTAGTATTGAGGTGTGTGCTACTGATGTCGACAGATATAAGTAGTATGTATTATAAATCGAAAATGAAATACCTGGTGCAGAAGTTTAAGAAGATTGAAGAAAGGAGA